TCTGATTTGCAGGATATATTTACATTCAGTGGAATACATTTGGCAATAATAATACATAATACACCCAAATTTGAATACTGGTGGGGTTTGATTTTGTCATTTGGGAGTTGTAGATGCTGGGATTTATAATTCACCTACAACCAAAGAGCATTCTGAACTCCACCAATGATGGAATTGAACCAAACTTGGCACACAGAACTCCCATGACCAACAGAAAATACTGGAAGGGTTTGGTGGGCATTGACCTTGAGTTTTGGAGCTGTAGTTCACCTACATCCAGAGAACACTGTGGACTCAAACAATGATAGATCTGCACCAAACTTGCCACGGATATTCAATATGCCCAAATGTGAATACTGCTGCAGATTCGAGAAAATAGATCTTGATATTTGGGAGTTGTAGTTGCTGGGATGTATAGTTCACCTACAACCAAAGAGCATTCTGAACCTTACTAACTATAGAATTGGGCCAAACTTCCAACACAGGATGTCCATGACCAACAGAAAATACTGTTTTCTGATGGTGTTTGGTGACCCCTACAACACCCCCCCCCCCCCCCCGGGGTCCCGACCCCAGGTTCAGAAACGCTGAAGAAGAAGATAATCTGGATTTTATATAACAGTGTATGGAAATGTGTTGGAAAGAAAGAGGCAGAATTAGAATAAAATTTAATTTTTTATCTCTTTATTGAAAATGTACCCATCACAGCATTTTGTGCTTCCTCCCTTGCACAGGATAATGTAAACATCATACAGGAACTCAAGCCTTTTGGGTCGGTGAGGTTTTGATCCTTTGCAAAGAGTGCAGCAAATCGGTGAGCAGCTCACAAGTGCTAGGTACTACTTATGGATGACAATCAGCCTCTCTCTGCACAAATAGACTTCCAAAAGGCCTGAACAGGAAGCACTGGGAGCAAGAAATAGAGTTCAGCATATTCCAGGTTCATTCAAGTTTAGCAAGACGAAGAGAAATCTGCAAAAAGCCATGGATGCAATTAAATGAAAAGTCTGCAGTGTAAATGGACATCTCCTTTTCTCCATCTAAGGGATATGTTTGCAGGGAGGGACACTCAATTGTGTGAACTCTCAGTTGTGGCCACAAAGTGGTGCTGTTATAAATGGACCATGTCACCACCTGCTTTCCCAATCTCAAAAACCAAATCAGAGGCCCCATCTATACTGCTGTATAATGCAGTATCATCAGTGTAGACCAGGCATGGGCAAACTTTGGCCCTCCAGGTGTTTTGGACTTCAACTCCCACAATTCCTAACAGCCGGTAGGCTGTTAGGAATTGTGGGAGTTAGTCCAAAACACCTGGAGGGCCAAAGTTTGCCCATGCCTGGCATACACTCATATAATGCAATTCAATGCAGTGACACTGCATTATATCACTCTACATTGATCATATAATGTAGTGTAGATTCCTGGGCTTTTTATGGAGCTACATCTGTCCATTTGTAGTAGTAGTTACCCATTCAACATCACATGGGACAACTTAACCTCATGGGAACAGAGATGCCGCTAGCACAAACAGATTCAAAGATGCTACTATGGAAGCAGAAGGCTTAATTGCATAGACAAACAAGCAAGACTACAGTAGTACTCTCTTGCAGGATGTGATCAGAAGAGTTGCATGCCAATACTGAGCGAGTCAGTCTCAATGGACCCCACTTCCAAGTACTTGTGAATAGAATTGGCAATTTTAATATACATTCCAACATCTTCTGTGTTGTCCTCATTATGTTTCCCAACTTTATATGAGGATATGTTTACATAGGATAATGCAAATGCACTGCTAACCATTCTTGGTGTTCATAGGCATAATAACAGTCATGTTTTCAAGGCTAATGTGTCTTTAAGTAAAAGTTTCTTGTTTGCAGGCTCTGTTTTGTTATGTACTGTTCAGCTAGAACGGGCATGGGCAAACTTCAGCCCTCCGGGTGTTTTGGACTCCAACTCCCACCATTCCTAACAGCCTCAGGCCCTTTCCTTTCCCCCTTCAACCGCTTAATCCAAGGGGGAAAGGAAAGGGCCTGAGGCTGTTAGGAATGGTGGGAGTTGGAGTCCAAAACACCTGGAGGACCCAAATTTGCCCATTCCTTAGCTAGGTGGTTACTCATGAATAACATCTCAATTCATTTGTATTTTGCTGACTTTCTTTCTTAAAAGGTGATGGTAGCAGCAGCTTTAATTACCTTCCCACCCCCCGTCCTTAAATTATACTATTTTGCTACAATAATATATACACAACCGAGCATGAGAAAACCAGTAACCAAAATTGTTCGCATCCAAGGAGGGCAGAATCTGATAGAAATAAGGGAAAACTAGTGGTAACAATTAATTCCTAACTCCCTAATAGCACTGAACAAGAATAGATAAACCCACAAGGAATAAACTTATAACTAGAAGTGCAAAAGATCTTTGTTGAAGCAAAGGTTAATGATACACTACCTATTGACCGATATTGAATTTCCTATTAATTCCAACTATGCAAAGGCCTCAGCACTGTTAAAGAACTCTGTTGTAGCAGCAGTTCTCTATATACTTTTGAATGATATCAGCCTTGCTACACAAACATCTTATTTATTTGGGCCAGGCTTTAGCACAGCGGATTAAACCGTCAGCTGTAGAAAGTCTTGCTGATTGAAAGGTTGGCAGTTCATAGCCTGGGTCAGGGCGAGCTCCCGCTGTCAGCTAGGCTTCTGCTCATCTAGCACATCGAAACAGCAATGTGAGTAGATAAATAGGTACCACTTTAAGCAAGGAGGTAATAAAAGGTGCTCATAAGGACATGCCAGTGAAGAGGATGTTTACAGAGAACAAAAAGCTCCACGACATGGAAGATGGAGCAGAGTCGAGCACAGCCTCCAGATGCTGGAGATGGAAAAAGATGGGAAAAGCCTATACCTCTGTTTATGTATTGTCTGTCCTAGTTAATTGTATAATGGCATTGAATACTTGCTGTATATGTGTTCTATAATCCATCCCGAGTCCCCTCAGGGAGATAGAGAGGAATATAAAGTATATTATTATTATTATTATTATTATTATTATTATTATTATTATTATTATTAAACACAACAAGATTAGTACATAGCAAACAAGATCACTCTACTGGCTGTTGCATTGGATCACACATCGGACATTTCCCAAGTGTCTAGGACTGTGTGATGTATCGGCGAATAATGCATGCAGATCCCAGTAGAGTGGCCTTTAGCACCTGACAGATGGTAATGTTGTCAGCGCCGATTGTGTTTAAGTGCAGGCCAAGGTCTTTAGGCACTGCACCCAGAGTGCCGATCACCACTGGGACCATCTTTACTGGCTTGTGCCAGAGTCTTTGCAGTTCAATCTTTAAATCCTCATATTGTGTCAGCTATTATTATTATTATTATTATTATTATTATCATTATCATTATCATTATTTTCTACGCTTGCATTCATTCCTACCAACCTTCCATTTTCACGAGCACTGGAAAGATAAACATTATCTTTCCGTATTTACTTATTTTCTGGAATACAGTTCAACATGGAGGATTTTGCAATCTGTATTTGCTCTTTGCATGAATTGATTGGAATCCCAGCTGGTGGACATCGAAGAAAACCAACATATTAATTTGACTTAACCAGGACTCTAAACACACCCCCTCCTCTCCTTTAAGAGACGTCTAAAAACGCACTTATGCACTTTAGCGTACCGAGAGGAGGAGGACTAAAAAAACGTTACCCAATTGGGATGCTGGCCAACTCCACTTGCACTATATGGCCGCCACGATACATCTTAAAGGAACACCAGCACTAGCCATTTTTAATGTAACTGTATTTTAAACTGTTCTGAGGGTATTTGCTGTAGTTGTTATTTATGTTTTAGTTAATTATATACAGTAAAGTCTTGCTTATCCAACCTTCACTCATCCAATGTTCTGTATTAACCAACGCAGTCTGCCTCCCGCCCAGATCCACAGCTGTTTCAATACATTACAATCTTTTGGTGCTAAATTCGTAAATACAATAATTACTACATAACATTGGCGTGTATTGAACTGCTTTTTCTGTTGATCTGTTGTAAAACATGATGTTTTGGTTCTTAATTTGTAAAATCATAATGTAATTTGATGTTTAATAGACTTTTCCTTAATTCCTCCTTATTATCCAACATTTTCGCTTATCCAACGTTCTGCCAGCCCGTTTATGTTGGATAAGCGAGACTGTGCAGTATTATTAACTATTCTGTTATATTTTTATCTCAATGCTTAAATCCTTTGTGGTAAACTTACTGTTATTATTGTGCTCTTATCATGTATTTTGATAAGTTTTTGATATATTTTGTACTCTTTTAGGCATTGAATGTCTGCCTTGTTATGTGTAAACCGCCCTGAGTCCCCCTTGGGGAGAAAGGGCGGTATAGAAATTTATTATTATTATTATTATTATTATTATTATTATTATTATTATTATTATTATTATTATTATGAGAGCACTAGAGCTATATATTTACTGGGAGCTTCTTGGAGGAAGGGTGAAAAATGAAGCTAATACAAAGAAAAAGGAAAAAAGTGTTCCTATTTCCAGACAGCTGTCCACAGATGTAATAATTGTGGGGACAGAGGGTCCCCTTCTCTAGCCTCACATCCACATCTCTCATGCTGTGCCGTCTACTGGACAAGTAAATCCTCACAGCATTGCATGCACTTGTATCAAAAGGCATAATGCAGAACATCTGCATTTGTAACACAGCAAGGCTGGGATGGAAGACAGAGATGTAATTTGCCATGAAGATGCAATGTACACATTTTTTTTCTTCCGAGTGAAGATATTGATTTCCCTGGTTGGACAATTTTTACAAAAGGATCGGTTAAGACTGCATCTCTGAAATGCCATTAACAGTACAGCTTGCCATTTCTGTTTGTCTTTCAGTTGAAAGAGTTAGAAAAATCGTCATATGAAAAACACAAGTTAACAACACATACAAAAGATTATTTTCTCTCTCCCCCCCCTCCCCCCCGTCACAACCCCCTTTGCCCCAAACAAAATAAGTTTTTAAAAATATCTATCTGAGCTATATATACAAGTAAACAGCCTCTTTTCAAGTGTCACTCTTCCATCATGGCCCAGGCTTCTTCCGCTTTCTGGTAATATTGGTTGGCCAGGCGGCCCTTCATGGCTTGCATGGCAGCTTCAGCAGCTTCGGTGTACAGCTCACCTGGAACAACGGAAGGGAAGAACCACACTGAGAGAGCGAAGGCAAGACACTTTCTTCTCCTATAGATGCAGCACAAGTTGCTACAGCTCCCATCATCCCCAACCAGAGAAAATGGGGTCCTAGACCAGACATGGGCAAACTTCATCCCTCCAGATGTTTTGGACTTCAGCTCCCACAATCTCTTGAGAGTCTCAGAACCCTTCCTTTTCACCCTCCGCCGCTTAAGCCAACTTGCTTAGCATTGAATAGCCTTGCACTTTCAAAGCCTAGCTGCTTCCTGCCTGGGGGAATCTTTTGCTGGGAGGTGTTAGCTGGCCCTGATTGTGTCCTGTCTGGAATTCCCTGTTTTCTGAGTGTTGTTCTTTATTTACTGTCCTCACTTTAGAGTTGTTTTTTTTTTAAAAAAATGGTAGCCAAATTGTTACTTTCAGGTTTTCCTCTTTCTGTTGAATTGTCCACATACTTGTGGATTACAATGGCTTCTCTGTGTAGTTTGACATGGTAGTTGTTAAGAGTGGTCCAGTATTTCTGTGTTCCCAAATAATATGCTGTGTCCAGGTTGGTTCATCAAGTGCTCTGCTATGGCTGTCTTCTCTGGTTGAACTAGTCATGTTTCTTGATTCATATTTGGGCAATGCTCTGTTTGGTGATCCCTACGTATGCTGGCCCCTATGGTTGGAGTAGAGAAGTCAGCCATAGCAGAGCACCTGATGAACCAACCTGGACACAGCATATTATTTGAGAACACAGAAATGCTGGACCACTCTAACAACCACTATGTCAGACTACACAGGGAAGCCATTGAAATCCACAAGCATGTGGACAATTTCAACAGAAAGGAAGAAACCATGAAAATGAACAAAATCTGGCTACCAGTATTAAAAAATTCTAAAATTGCAACAGCAAAAACAGCAGAGAGAAAAACAGGCAGGGACATCTAATCACCTTTCAAGAAGAGTTTGCTCCAGGCACAGTCAGCCCATTGTATGCTAATCAAGGTGGTCAGTTGAAAGATTCACACCTAGCCCAACTGACAAAAGCCCTTTGTCTCACCCTGGTCATTCCACAGATATATAAACCCCTTTTCCCAGTTCCAGCAGACCTCACCTCTGAGGATGCTTGCCATAGATGCAGGCGAAACGTCAGGAGAAATGCCTCTAGAACATGGCCATATAGCCCGAAAAAACCCACAAGAACTGAGTGATTCCAGCCATGAAAGCCTTTGACAATACAATCTGTTTACAGTACTTGTTGCCTGTGCCTAAAATGGCCTCTTAGTTGCTCTACAAATGACCGCTCTTAAGTCCCTGTGAAGCCAGCCCAATCACTCAACAAATGGCCATACTCAACATCTTTTTGGATGGAAAGGGTAACACTTCACTTCACTTCACTTTATTTCTTAATTAGTCGCTCTCCACCAAGGTGCTCCGAGTGACTTACAATCTAAAATAGCATTTACACAACATAAAAACATTTAACATAAAAACATTCAACAGTGACTATTTGGCAAATTAGATCTGATTACTTAAATGCACAACCAAGCAGCCAAGTCTTGAGTGCCTTTACAAAAGGTCGCAACTCCGACCTTGCTCTTATGGAGGCAATGAGTTCCACAGAATTGGAGCATAGGTCGAAAAAGCTCTACGCCTTGTAGCTTCTAGGTGTACCTCCCTAGGGCCCGGTATGTATAGGAGATTTTCCTGGGTGGATCGAGGTGACCACTGATGGAGAAAAGGAATGAGGTGGTCCCTAAGATAACAGGGACCCCCCAGCTTCCAAAGGAAAGGAAAAACACAGTCACACCAACCAGATAAGGTGAACATCAATTAAATCTCATTTTCTTCTCCCTCTGCCTGTTTGTTTACCTTACAGGAGTTTCTGATTTCTCACACCGGCACACAGAACTCACAAACTAAATGCCCTGAAAACTGGAAACTTTAGGTATCTTTCAGATGAAGCAATCTGAGATGCACTCCTTGAAAGTTTATGCCAAACATAGCTTCTCTCTTTCAGCTACCAGAGGACAACTAGATGGTTTTGCTGCAAAAGACAGAACACCCCCACAAAATAGGAAGCATGGCGCGATACCTGATCTCTGTGGATCTTTGTCCAGGTTAAACCCTCCACTCATCAGCATCTCTGCCTCTCTTGCCAGGAGGAGGTAGTGGGGCTCATCCTGCGTTCCATCGTATTCCCCTCCTTCGTCGTAATCGGTCATGTTCAATGCCGCATTGTACCAATGCAGGGCTTCCTTCCAATCTCGGTCTCTGAGTAATTCAAGAATAAAAGGTAAATATGAAAAAACTCCAGGAGTATTCCTGTGGGAAGACTTTTGTTCACATCTGCTTGCAAGCTGTTGAGCCCTGATATTTAATTAATATATATGATTGAGTGAGCCCCGGATACCTATGATGAGCAATACCATATTTGTTCTAAAAGGTTTCCCCTGACATTAAGTCTAGTCATGTCTGACTCTGGGGCTTGGTGCTCATCTCCATTTCTAAACCGAAGAGCCGGCATTGTCCATAGACACCTCCCAAGGTTATGAGGTCAGCATGACTGCATGGAGCGCCATTACCTTCCCGCCGGAACAGTACCTATTGCTCTACTCACATTTGCATGTTTTCGAACTGCTAGGTTGGCAGAAGCTGGGGCTAACAGCGGGAGCTCACCTCACCCCCCAGATTCAAATTGCTAACCTTTCGGTCAGCAAGTTCAGCAGCTCAGCGGTTTAACCTGCTGTGCCACTGGGGGCTCCTATTTGTTCTAATGAAGGCAAATATATTCCTATATACTTAGCATCAGATTCTCAGAAAACAACTCCAACAGCAACTCCAGCAGAAGTCTATTGCCAATTGTCTCTAAAACATAGATACTCTGCTGGGAGGAAGGGGATGCTTTATGTATTTAATGGGAAACACATTAAAAAAACCCAGGACAGATTTCTATCTATATGACACCCCTCCCCTCCCCCTGCCTTGTCATTGACTCTCACTAAAACACACTGATTGGTCAACCTGGACCATAGACTCATGCAACTGGCTAACCAAGGAATTGCCAGCAAGCATCCCTAACAACATAGTACCTGTCAGGAGCAAGATTCAGGCCTGTATCATATGCTCTTGCAACAAGGATCATGGCAGGACGGTCTCCAGCTGCTGCTGCTCGGCATAAATAATCAAATCCTTTGATTCTATTTTCCTTGGTGTCCTAAACAAAAGGAGGAAAAAGAACTGAATCTGACTGAAGGAAAAGGCTGAACTAGTATATAAAAAAATCATTGTTTGGGATCTTGACCCTCTAAAATATTGTTTGTGATAATCACAGCTCTCAAGAGATAATTGGCAGAAAACCATTTGGATTACTGTGAAGCAGAGCAACAATTAATTAAATCACCAGAGTCAAAGTCAGTAAAGTCATTTTGGCTGCAGAGGCAGAAAATCTGATGAGTCTTTCTCCTGGCACAAAAATAACAAACATTTCATAATTTGATATTTCTGCTGCAAATACCAGCTGCCATAAGCAGGACCAGCTCTGATAGTAGGGCATTCGTGGCATAATACATTGATGGAGGCATGTGGGTTTCCACAGCACCACAACAGTCAGAAGCCCACATATTTTATTGGGTCTCATTACTTACTTCTGTTTTATAATTTTTCACTGTTTTTAAACTGACTCCATTCCAAAATCTTCAGGCTGTAGAGGGCTCAGGGGTTGGGACAGCTAGTTTTTCTACTGTAACTGTAACAATTTCCCAGACCAAATTACTGTATTTCATCACATATTAGTCGCACCACTCTTTTGGGAAAGGCAAAATGGAACTTTTGCCTTTCTCTGTATTATAATTGCACCTTTAGTTCACTAGACTGCCTTCCATATTCTTTCATATCAATTTCGCAGTGAAAGAAGCTCCTAAGATTGGTCTTTTTTTTTCATTGCATAATGAAAATTCAATAATTCAATAATAAACAATTCAATAATAAACAATAATAAACAGGAGCCCCCAGTGGCGCAATGGGTTAAACCCTTGTGCCGACAGGACTGCTGACCAACAGGTCAGTGGTTTGAATGTGGGGAGAGCGGGTTGAGCTCTCTTTGTCAGCTCCAGCTCCCCATGCAGGGACATGAGAGAAGCCTCCCAGAAGGATGATAAAACATCAAACATCCGGGCGTCCCCTGGGCAACGTCCTTGCAGATGGCCAATTCTCTCACACTAGAAGTGTCTTGCAATTTCTCAAGTCACTGCTGACACTAAATAATAATAATAATAATAATAATAATAATAATAATAATAATAATAATACTTTATACCCCACCACCATCTCCCAGAGGGACTTGGGACGGTTTAAAAAGCACTCAAACGTGCAAACGCATAAAATATAAAAACTGCAGAAACAATAACATAAAATAACAGCCAATAAAAATATCTCACTTCACAAAACCTGCTGGTAAAAATCAATAAATACAGCAATTACTGCAGGTATAAAACAACAAATAATCAATCTCAGTCATGTAAAGTGCTTGGTGAAATCTATGGGTGCTCACATGTATTCATTAAAGGAATCTAAATATGGCTGAATAATCACACCCTATTTCCCCCTGCAAAAATGGGTGGGGGGTTGCAACTATTAGACGATGAAATACAGAATTTAACTATTTTAATGACCATGTTTTCTGTAATGACCACAAACAAATCAGAGAATAGGAAAAGTCTGCCTCGTGTTACATACAGGTAGGAAGTGGTCAGGAAACGATGCTGCATTTGTAGGATTAATGGACGAGTGTTATCTATATTAAGAAATCCATTAGTTAATCCATTTGTACTTCACATTAAATAGAAATGCCCAAAATGCCTTTAGTGGGAAGGGAACAGTGAAAGAACAGATGCTTTGCGTGAACAATTGGATAATGATTCACTAATGAGACTCTGAGGATTTATGTTTTTATTGGTTTTATTGTTTTTGTATGTATTGTCGAAGGCTTTCATGGCCGGAATCACTGGGTTGTTGTAGGTTTTTCCGGGCTATATGGCCATGTTCTAGAGGCATTTTCTCCTGACGTTTCGCCTGCATCTATGGCAAGCATCCTCAGAGGTAGTGTTTTTGTATGGTTTTATATTTATGCTGAATATTTTAAACTGTATTTTCTGTTAAACCGCCTTGAGTCGCCTTTGGGCTGAGAAGGACGGTATATAAATGTGGTAAATGAATACATAGCAATCCTTGCATCTCCAGGTATGTCTGGAAAACAATTCAATGTTAAACTCTGGAAAGCTGTTGCCAATCAACTGAGAAGACATGGGTAATCTCCTAGAATTGAATGCAGTGCTCCAGATCAGGCATGACTAGCACAGACGACTATTACTTCCCTTGGTCTAAGGCACCTTGCTATGTTTTCCAAGTGAACATGAAAAAATGTGCTATATATCTCTGCTTTCACACAAGAAGTCTAGAAAGGTTGCAAGGATTCACGGCTGGTCTTGTTCAACTATGGTGCTGCCTTGCTGACCTTGAGTGTGACCTCAGAGAGAATGTGGTGCGGCAGCTGAGAGAACATGAGCCCGAGCCCCACAATGGCTTCTAGCTCTCCGCAGTCCGCTGCGTGCTCCAGGTGGAAAATTGCCGACTCTTCGTCCCATTCCTGGTCCTTCCCGCAGAAACGGCCAGCTTCATGGTATCGAACCATGGCCAAATGAACCTGTGTGAAAGAGGAGAGGGAAGAAATTGGAGGCGGAATGATTAAAAGTTAGATCAGCCTGCTGGCTAAGCATGAACATAGCTCTACAAGTGTTTCATTGTTATTTATATCTGCTCTTGGGTGGGTGCTGATCCAGATCACTACCTGTTTTAGCAATTCCACAACAAAAATAGGTAGATTTTTCACTACGGAAAGCATGAAATGCATGGCCTTTCAATTATTTTATATTACAACTACCATCAGCCCAAGCCAGCCCTGCTAGGACCCAAATCTTCCACTAAAAGAGTTTGGAAACCATAAGCTGCTGTTCCCAACCTGCTGTTAGGCTTTGCTTCATGAAATTCTTACACAAACCACTTTCCCTCGAGACTACAAGGCACAGAAGTAGATTCACAGCAAAATTTAAGATACAGGTTTTGACAGTTCTCATCTCTGAAATCTAACCTACAATACTTGGTATTCATTGGCAGTCTTCAATCCAAACACTAACCAAGGATGACCCAGCTTAACACCCAGGATTAGATGGGATCTAGCACCTTTTTTTGCAGTGTTTAGACATGCAGTAGGCCCTGTGTGTATCTTGCATGAAGGTACAAGAGCTGTTATTATTAGTTACTCTACTTATACTTGTACAGCACTCCATGCAGTCATGCCGGCCACATGACCTTGGAGGTGTCTATGGACAATACCGGCTCTTCGGCTTAGAAATGGAGATGAGCACCACTCCCCAGTCAGATATGACTAAACTTAATGTCAGGGGAAACCTTTAACTTTTACTTAGACCTTGATTTTCTCCCAAACTTGAGACCCATGTCAGTATCACAAGATGTCTTTTGTTCCTTCATTAACTTATTCCAATATGTAAAGGGGGGGGGCACATGTTTATTTATTTACAGTATTTATACCCCGCCCTTCTCACCTCAAAGGGGACTCAGAGCGACTTTACAGAACACACATAGGGCAAACATTCAATGTATTGTCAAAGGCTTATAAACTGCCTTTCCCTCTCTTTGTGTTGTCTGTCCTTGTTAATTGTATAATTGGCATTGAATGTTTGGGTTGTTGTAGGTTTTTCAGGCTGTGTGACCATGTTCTAGAAGCATTCTCTCCTGTATCTATGGCAGGCATCGTCAGAGGTTGTGAGGTCTGTTGGAAATTAGGAAAATTGGGGTTTTCCCATTTTATTTCCGGCATCTTGGAGGCTGTGCTTAACACTGGCCATGGGGGGCGGGGGAGAGGGTTGCTGTCGCTCCATCTTCCATGTTGAGGAGCTTTCCTCCAATCAATGTCCTTAAAGGCCCCTTTATTACCTCCCCGCTAAAAGAGGTACCTATTTTATCTACTTGTATTTCTGCTTTTGACCTGCTAGGTAGGCAGGCGAGCTGGGGCTAACGACAGGTGCTCACCCCGACCTGGGTTCAAACTGCTGACCTTCTAATCGGCAGGATTTTTCTGCAGCACAGCAGGTTTAGCCTTTTGTGCTGAGCCCGGCCTGCCAGTATATTCTATTCTCCTTATTTTTACACACTATAAAGATGGGCTCAAAGCCAACCTTAAAAACTCTGGCATAGACACTGAGAACTGGGAAGCCCTGGCCCTTGAGCGCTCCAGCTGGGGGTCAGCTGTGACCAGCAGTGCTGCAGAATTTGAAGAGGCACGAATGGAGGGTGAAGGAGAGAAACGTGCCAAGAGGAAGGCGCATCAAGCCAACCCCGACCAAGACTGCCTTCCACCTGGAAACCAATGCACTCACTGCGGAAGAAGATGCAGATCAAGAATAGGGCTCCACAGGCACCTACGGACCCATAAGAATACTGATCCTGGAAGACTATCCTACTCAGCCAATGAGGGATCGCCTAAGTAAGTAAGTACACGCTATAACCTCTTTCCTTTTCTAAGAACTAAACCCTCCAGTCCCTTGACGCTTTGAGATCCACTGGTGTGTGGTTATAATGGTAGTATAGGATTTCTAAAGTGCTCCTTAGCAAACCATAAGCTACAGCTGAAGACCCAGTTGACAGAGGTGCGTAGACAACCGGCTAACTTCTTTCCAGCCTTGCCCTATTTAAAGAAAGAGGCAAGCCATTTCATATGGCTCCCTCCTTCTTTCCAGAGGGCGAGCCACCAAATTAGATACCAGTTGGGACCTGCCAGAAGCAAGAGTCTGAGATGCTCAAACCTTCCCAAGGATGGATTTCCCAATTTTCTTCTCCAGCTCCAAAGCGTTGAGCCTCTGCACTTCCACCGCAACACAGGAGGGTCTGTGGATATGGACTCTGGCCGCGTTAAAGAGATTCCACTTCTCCACACTGACCTAAAACAGGGCAAAGGCACTGCTGACGTCAGTTGGAAATGTAAAAGGAAAAGAAAGAAGCGTGTCTTCTTATCAAGACCACACTGCCATCCAGAGCCAAGAAAGCCTTCTCAAGCTGCAGCAGTAATTTCCCCACAAAAACGTATGTGTGTAAAGGAATAAATTAAAACAGAACTCAACCAGGCAGAAATCTTACACAAATATTGGTCACAATTAACTCAAATTATAGAATTGCACTGTAACTCAGAAATGGGAACTGTGTGGCCTTCCAGATGTTCAATGTATTGTCAAAGGCTTTCATGGCCGGAATCACTGGGTTGCTATGAATTTTCCAGGCTGTATGGCCATGTTCCAGAGGAAATGTCAGGAGAGAATGTTTCTTAACATAGTCATACAGCCCGGAAAACTCACAGCAATCCACTTCCACTTGTTACATTGCAAGTCCCAGCAGCCTAGTCAATAGAACAAAATGTTGGAAGTTGGAGTTCTAAAATATCTGGAGGGCCACCCACTTCGCATTCATGCTGTAGCTCATTCTCCACAGCAATTAATTTCTAGTCAATTTGGGGAAGACTAAGTCACATGCACAAAACTACAAAACTCCTAGTTGCACTTACTGTGATGGCAGCAAAATGCTAGCAAAACAGGCAGTGCTGGTTCTCGATGAGCAGCGAAAGATCTAAAAGGTTCTCTATTGGAAGGGCAAAGGATTGGGCACGTTGAAAAGAATTTAGAAAATACCATATATACTTGAGTTAAAGCTGAGTTTTTCAGCCCTTTTATGAGGTTGAAAAGCCCCCCTCAGCTTATACTCCAGTCAAGGTTATTTATTATTTTACTCTGTTGTCGTTATTACATTTATTTTACTCTATTTATTATTATTATTATTATTATTATTATTATTATTATTGAATTCACATTATTTTACTCTATTATTACATTTATTATTTTACTCTATTTATTATTATTATTATTATTATTATTAAATTCACATTATTTTACTCTATTTATTATTACTATTACATTTATGTTATTTTACTCTATTATTACATGTACATTATTTTACTTTATTTTTATTATTACATTTATTATTTTACTCTATTATTACTGGAAGGATACGTAAGCACATTTACATTGAAGAAGGTTAGAATAATGGTTTAATCAGAGTTGGACAGTCTTACCTTAAATTACAATTTTATGTAAATATTCAGAAACATTTAACCTACTGATGCCTCAATTAATATAATTTTCTTACTATCTATTTTTATTTTTAAATTTACCAGTAGCTGCTGCATTTCCCACCTTTGGCTTATACTCGAGTCAATACGTTCTCCGAGTTTTTTGTAGTAAAATTAGCTGTCTTGGCTTATATTCGAGTTGGCTTATACTCGAGTGTATATGATAAGTCTGAAACTCTGAGAGTGCCCCAACCAACATGGCCAGTGGTTGCCCAAGTAATAGCCTGAATTTAGAATTACCCATATATAGGTTCAAGCTGTCTTGATACCTACACCCTTCAAAGAAAGTAGCAAGACATAGTAGCACATTCCAAGATTTGGTGTGTTTTAGAAAAATACGGATTCGAACCATGGAAACAGCAGCAGAAATCAGCAAAAGCCAAATCAATCGGCAGGGAGAAAACAAAGCCAAGAACATGATGAAGGGATTCATGCAGATTCACCCGTTTGCTCCATGGACTGGTTTTAGTAGTTGAAGAGAGTTTATTTACAACAGTGTTTCTCTAATTGAGAAGGAAAGGAATTAAAAAGTGAAAGAAAACGAGATGTAAGTAATGAAAAACAATATTCTGCAACTGAAATAAAAATAGCTTTTAATATACAGTACGGCCCCTGTATCCCTGGGATCAGTTTCGTTGATCCATGCCTACCAAAATATGTGCTCGCTGGCCATTTTCTAGGTCCTCCAGCATTGCCAGAAGCCCTTCATTTGAATAGGGCTTGATATTATCTGTGCTTTTTGGATTTACACAAAGAATGGGAACATATTGCCCATGGATACAAGGATCATACTGCACATGTGGGTTGGAGGAGTAACATCGGAGGCATGGGGAGCAAACCAACCAAAGCCAGGTATTATCTTCAGAGAGTTTCTGTCTTATTTACCCTTGCAGAGCTGCCCAAACTGTCTTCATCACTTTCATGTCTTCGGTTACAGTTGGACTGCACCTATATTAATATAAAAAAATAAAACAAAATTAATTGTGTTGATCATTATTTCAAGAAGCTCTTGTCAATAGCTTAGGAGGCGGGGGGCGGGATTGAGTGATGCCTCTGTTTCAATGTCAAGTCACATCAAAACATTATCACCAAGGCTGAATCAATGAATACATTTAAAAGCATAACAGTTAATTGACCACAGGATTTTAAGAGACTGACAGTATTCTTATTTCCACATTAGAGAGAGGATTTATTGATACACTTTCCTCTAAAGCCCCATCTGCACTCGCTGCTTTGAACTGAATTATATAGTCAGTGTAGACCAGGCATGCAATTTTACTACAAAAAAAGGGTGGGAAATGCAGCAGCTACTGGTAAATTTCAAAATTTAATAAAACCAGTAAAATTACATTAATTGAGGCATCAGTAGGTTAAATGTTTTTGAATGTTTACATAAAACTGTAATTTAAGTTAAGGCTGTTCAACTCTGATTAAACCATTATTCTAAACCTTCTTCAATGTAAATGTGCTTACACATCCTTCCAATAATAATAAAAGAGTAAAATAATAAATACAATAAAAATAATAAGAGAATAAAATAATGGAAATGTAATAACAGTAATAATAGAGTAAAATAATAAATGTAATAAAATAATAGAGTAAAATAATGTAAATGTAATAATAATAGTAATAGAGTAAAATAATAAATGTAATAATAATAGAGTAAAATAATAAATTTAATTTAAGGTAAGACTGTCCAACTCTGATTAAACCATTATTCTAACCTTCTTCAATGTAAATGTGCTCACGTATCCTTCCAATAATAATAAAGAGAAAAATAATAAATGTAATAACAATAATACATAATGGTAAAATAATAAATAAAATAATAATAGAGTAAAATAATAAATGTAATAATAATAGAGTAAAATAATGTAAATGTAATAATAATAATAAATAGAGTAAAATAATAAATGTTATAATAATAACAACAGAGTAAAATAATAAATAACCTTGACTTGAGTATAAGCCGAAGGGGGCTTTTTCAGCTTAAAAAAAGAGCTGGAAAATTCATCTTATACTCTAGTATATATGGTATTGTTATTATTATTATTAACTAAATATTATACAAAATGTAATTAAATTTTAAAACAATTGAAGGAGCACTGGGGTTTCTGACGCCCTCAACTTATTCTGCTCATGTTCAATAATACCAACAAGCTGTAAATAAATGAAGAAAAGAATATTCAAACAGCAATAGAAGATGTTACTTTGTGATCCATGTCTTCGTGTTCACTCCTCTTTTCACTTGGGTATCCACTGTCACCTCCATTTTCACATTCCTAGAAAGGGAAAAATGACATGAGGTTAAGGATGATGTGATGTTTGATCCTGTAACACCTGGAGAATCACAGGTTACCCATTATTGCCTTAAAAAAAAGATCCAACAATGGAAATCATCACACCAGGTCACGATGTTAGTTTAAAAAAAATAGTATGTAAATATTAGAACGTTTAAATTAGGGCAAGGAATGAGAAGAGAAGTAGTAGAAGATCAAGGCGCCTGTTCACAGCTATATCACTGTAGACGTCAATTAATCCTCTTTGGAGATTAAGATATTTTGGATCAGATAAAATAGACTATTTGAGTATGAGAGTTTGATGGTGCTTTACATTGTGAAGATTAAGATAAGGGGATTTTACCTTTCAGTGCTTCTGTAGAGAACTTTAGGCTAAAAGAGGCATAAATGTGTTTGTTTTTGTGCACCTAAGCACCAAATTGCCGCAATCAAATCCAAAGAGAGGAAGTTTTCAGAAAGCGGGACATGGGGACAAAAGCAATCCTCATATATCTGTGTAACCCCACCACATATTTTCTATATTATTAGGTGTATGTCTAAAAAGCACAACGGACACAATCATTTTTAACTTGACTATTGGAGAAACACTTACCCTTTGATTGTCGAGGCCTTCATGATCATTATGAACCAAGTTGTCAACTTCATTGAATACAGGCCAGTCTAGAGGAGAGTAATATAGAGATTTTATTTGTTAGAAAACAGGTCTTTCTTTGCCAAGTCACTTCTGGTGTAAGAGAATTGGCCGTCTTCAAGGACGTTGCCCAAGGGATGCCTGGATGTTTTACCATCCTGTGGGAGGCTTCTCTCATATTCCTGTATGGGAAGCTGCAGCTGACAGATGGGAGTTCACCCCACTCCCCAGATTCAAACCGCCAACCTTTCTGTTACCAGTCCTGTCGGCACAAGGGTTTTATTTATTTACTAGCTATACCCGCCACACGTTGCTGTGGCCAACCTTCCCTCCCTCTTTCTC